CATGATCTGCATAGTGAAACATTATTCGAATTTTTCTATTGTTTTATTATGTTGTCTTTGGTGTACAGATCTTGCAACGACCCCCCGGGGACTACAGATGAAAAATAGCCTTCTGTTTAAATCTGGCATATTTACATTGATGCAAAGCTGATATGTTCATTAATGTGCACTGTCCCTTTCAAATAAATAAATAAGCATTTAAACTACCTGTGCACACAGCAGAATTGTGGGTAATGTAGGCGCCAGGCTCCTCTCCAAGGACAGACAGACAGGAAATAGTGTTACAAACAATTGCGCTGAAGCAGGAGAGAGAAAGACACAAAGGCAAAAGGTATATAAAGGTTTTTATTATCAAAAGGCCTCCGTGCAAGATAACCCTTTTTGATTTTGGTAACCTGTTTCCTGCAGCGCCACCATCAGGACAAAGTTGGATTTTAAGCTCCACTCCTGAAAACGTCTATACAACAGCAGACTGGTCTGTTATTAAGGTGTCACCACTACTACTGTTTACAAGCCACGAGATTTAGCTTTCTGGTAGACTGACTGATGGAAGTGATAAAAGATCGTCCATGTAATAATTCTAACCGTCTTCCTGACAAAGATTGTCTAAATCTATTTTAAATTTAGCGGTTTGTTAGCTAACCTCACTAGCATTTCCTGTGGTCATTTAACAATAATAGAACGTCGCAATCGAATGCATTTATTTTAAAACACATGCAGCAAGTGATATGTTACTATAGACAGTGCAGACAGGAAGCAGCTGGCCTCCTGCAGTGAGCATGCTGGCAGCTGATCTTGAGGTTTAGTTTCAGTCTCTCGATGAGGGTCATATTTTTAATGCTTATGTCGAAGCTTTCTGTGGGTACAGAAAGCCGCCATCTTTATTGTGTGCAGGTTTACAAAAAGATCCTTGTTTGTGTTAAAATAACAACGTTACTTGCATTAGTAAACTTCCGTAACTTGGATAAAAACATTGAATGTTGACTTTTTGTTTTACACGGGAAACAAACACCGGTCTCTTTTGGTTGAAAGTCCAGTTTCCGGCCCACCTTTCACTCCCTTACTCTTTTTTTTTTTTTTTTTAAATATCGTACATCTATCTTAGACGTTCAAAAGTGACGCTACGGGGCTTCTCTCAGTACTTTACAAACTGACGCCGACAGGGCTTGACCATGCGTCCATATGTGTCGGCTTGGTTATGAGGGCGTGTTGCTAAAACTCTGTTCACTGAACTTACACATGGGTAACGGCGTGATATTACTTTAGAGAACATCTGGGGGAAGATTTAGATGTTTGAGAGTCGACATCAATCCTGAACCGACTCGTTCCTTCTGACAGTAGCGTGAAAGATGGCCGACTGAAAGTATCATCACGCCCACAGCTGATAATGTCTTGGCTTCCTGCCGCACGCCCAGCAGACTGTAGATGAACTCAGTTCACAAATCATCACATCACAGACAGACACTTCGGAACAACAGATATTATTGGCTGCTGGAGGAAACTGTCGGACCAATCAGGAGCTGCAGGCTGGTGAATGAGACTTTAAAAAAAAAGATGGAAAATGTGACACACTCTGGGCGACGGCGAAGTTAACGACTGAAGATCTGACCCACGACTCGTTATCCAACCGGTGGTTTTAGCCGGTGAAAGGCTCGTCTTCATCACCGTGACAAACATCTGTTAGCTGCAGACTTTTAAACAACAGAGCGGCTGTGTTTGTGTCACGACGTCAACACGGAGCATGTGAGTCTGTTTACTGTGGATGAGTAACAGGCGACAGCTGACAGAGTAAATAACCACCATGCTTCTGCTGATCACAACAGTTTAACCAGGACGATGAGCAGCACTATCATTATTATTGATTACCGGAGCTGAGGCTTCAGATTTCACCGCCTGGAGGAAGAAAATAAAAGCATGATGACGACGTGAAAAAGATTTTTGCTCGACCGACTCTGATATTTAGAGAGCGGCCAGTGGCGATTTAAGAAAGAGAATCCTGAATAGAACTGAATGGGGAAAGACTGTAACGCCAAAGATGGCGGTTGTATCCACATGTGACCCTCCAGCAAGAAAGCCAATCATCTGCTTTTTAAAAGCTGAGCCAGGAAGCATATTCAGCCAATCGTGTGGCTCCACTGACGGCAGTTTCAGATGTTGCTGCTGATGTTGTGGCGGGGGCGAGGTGACCAGATTACATGAACTACATGTGAAACACCGGGGTGCCTTCTCTAAACCAGTGGTTCTCAAAGTGGGATCCGGGGACCCCCAGGGGTCCTTGAGCGGGTTCCAGGAGGTCCTCAGCAAAAAGGGGAATGGCTTCTTTTCGTTATAATTCTAAGTAGCACAGCGACAGAATGTCTGACTACTCTTACACTTTCTGTAATAAAACATCTAAAAGCAAAACTCCTTTCAGACGGGGGGCCCTGGGACAAAATCTTATGAAATGAGGGCCCGTGGTCTAACTTGTGTCAGTTTAGAGGTCTCTGATGTGAAAAAGTTTGAGAAGCACTGCTCTAAACGTGAACAGTATATGATGACCGTATCCATAATGTCAGTTAGCTTAGCATCTGTTCAAGGTGGGAGGAGCTCATGGCGTCTCGTCCCCGGCGCTCTGGATAGAGCCGTAAATGAAGGTGAAAGATTGTGCATGTGTAGTAGAAGTACAACCTGCAGGGAGAAACACTTTTAAAACTTATTTTGGGGCAAAGTCATCAAACTGTTTTCCTGCTGATTCTCTACATGCAGGTTTTTATGGTGAGAGAAAGTGCAGTTCTGTTCATCTGGAGACAGACCAGGGGTCTCATTTATAAACAGTAGGTACAGAACAGGGCTGGAAACATGTGGACGCCGCTTCCCAAGCAAAGGTTGTGATCTATAACAAACAGACCTGAGGGAGAATGTGCGTCCTGGAAGTAAACTCTGAAGCATGCGGATGCACATAAAGAGGAGAAACGGCGCCTCACATGGCTTTGAAATGAAGAGGCCGACTGCTGTGTGAAATAAATCCAGATATTCTTTGAATTGATTCTATTCTTGTATTCCAGGCTTAAAGCCTTTCTGAAGAAACAAACAGCCGTTTGACTGATTCTCCCTGAAATCAATTAAGATCATTTGCAGTCACAAAAAGATCCAGATTCAGGATCATAAGCACAAACAGAGATTCTGATTCTGCAAAAGAGCCTCAAATCTGTTCAATGAGGAATCAGATTAATAAATACTGGAACAGGAGACAAATTACATTCAATTTACATTTTACGTTTTCAGTGAGTCAGTCGAGCAGAGTTTCATATATTGTTCTCACATGTTCGTTTCCTTATGGAGCCAAACGCTGAGCGCCGGCGTGAGGATGTGACGTGCTGCTTGTAAATACACATTATGGAAAATAAAACACTATTTTATGTCATTTCCAACAATCATATTTCTTTAACTCGTCAGCACCTCGTTCAGACTGTTTGTGTGAATAAATGTTTGAACTCAGAGGAACTCATTTGGTTTCCTCTCTTTTCAAACAGGGGAATCCAGATCAGTACCTGGTCTGTGTGGCCCCCCTCCAGCCAGCGACCTCACTGCTCAGAGGGAGGCCCCTTCCTGCAGATCGGTTATAAAGGGGCGGAGCTCCGGGCCCCTTTCCTCCGGTGCACAAGCGTTGGTGAAAGTGTGTTTTTTACCCACCAAACAGCTTCAGCTTCACCAAAAGGAACGTCAGAGTCGACTGAGTTAGATTCAGAGTCTGCCTCCTTTTCTTCCTGCAGTCAGGACGGATTAATATTTATTATATTAATTAATATTAATATTATTATTTACAGGCAGCTGGGGGCGTTTGGAGGGCCGGACATGGCGCTCCCTCACAGGGGCCACATTTCAAGTTGATTGTGATTTATAAAGGGAACTTGCTTACAGGTGTGGGTACGCACGGTTTTATAAGTCTGAATATTTTTTGCCGTACGCCATTTTTGGCTTTTGGGCTCTTTTAGTGAGGTTTCTACGCACAGTTTTATAAATGAGACCCCAGATACCTGTGGCTTTACAAAGACGGCTGCCGAGTGGCAGGACTTGCCTAAAGAAGGACTTCAGGGAGGACGATGGCAGAAACAAAGAAAAGTCCTGTATGATCCATTATTCCTGCAGAATCTTATCTCCATGTTCTCTCAGCAGTAACGGGAGTTTCAGACGGAAGTTTTATTAATGAATGAAACAGAAACATACGTTGGGTTCTGCTGTTCAGAGCGGGGTTCAGTTTGTCAGACGTCAGCCAGCTGCTTTATTCTCTACAGTGGAACTAGATATATTTAACACGGTAAGATCAGAGCTGCTGTCAGTTCGTGAGGAAATATCGGCCTCTTGGCTGCCGATATCAGTCGATCATCTCAAAATGCCAGATAGGGGCCGATTAATCGGTTTATGACTAATGCTGCGACTCGACGAGCAGCAGCTGAATGATGTTGTCCCAAAACAATGTCAGCGCTCACGGAAGCACACGCTGTGAATGGGAAACCATAAACTAAAAGGCAACAAAAAGTATATTTGCATGTATTTAAATTAAAATAACACATGTATTAAAACCTGTTCTGCATGTAAATTGATGTAGAAATATGTTATTAGGTAACGTTAGCTGGTTACAGTAAAGAATCTCATAAAGTCATCTGCATAAAAGTTATTGCTAAAAATGCTAAAACATTAGGAAGCGTCACCTGCAACTCCTGAGGGTCACCAGCTGATACTTATGTCAGTTGTTTGCATTTAAACTGCCATCCTTTTAATTTAACACCTACTACTTTAACAATGGACTTCCTGGTTAAATAAAAGGTTAAATAAAGTATATAAGGCTCTACATGCTGTGGTCTGTGCAGTAAAATAAACAGTAAATTAACTAAACGAGTAATAAAGCCGAGCTGGGGATCAGACCTCAGTACATTTTGTCCTCATTTCTTATTTTCTGATCCATAATTCATTATTTGGGGACATTTCCACAGCTGTTACAGTCAGACAACACCAAACAATGACGTTTTTAAAAAGGTACTTTCTTTATTTTATGTTGACAAATATGTTCTCAGTGAGTTTGGGTAGAAACTGTTGTGCCGTCGCTGCTGAAGCGGCGTTTAAAAACCATTAGTGAATCGGTCCCAAGACGGTGAAGCTGCTTCCTGAGCAGGTAGAAGAACACAGGTGTTGTTGGAATGACAGGAAGTTAAATCTCACCTGCTGACAAAAGGCATCAGTGTCGCATAATGTTCATGAGGCCGCACGGCGTGTTCACACATCACACAAAGTTCAGACCGGCTTCCTGGTGCGTCATTGGTGGATTCCTTTAAAACAAAAAGTCCAAACGGGCGAGGCCGCTGCTCAGTATCGCTTGTCCTCCGGCGGCGTGGCCACGATCACCTCTTTGCTCCCGAAGTCCCAGAAGGCCGTCATGTGGAAGGCCATGTTGGAGAGGACCACCAGGTACTCGAAGAGGGCGAACAGCGTGTAGACTGGAGGGGACAGAGAGAGACAGGAAGTGAGGACAGAGAGACAGGAAGTGAATACCTGTGGAGGATCACCCTGCAACCCATCACAGCGGGGCTCTGACGCTCGCTCACCTCCGGTTTCACAGAACTTGTTGTGGCGCCTGAAGAAGTACGCGGCGGCCAGACAACAGCTGACGTTAAACAGGAAGAGACGCACCTTCCATCGATATGATGTCATTTCCTGTGAAAGAGAGAATTTTGATTTATAGATAGAAGCTCAGACGCACGAGTCACCGAGCTGCAACTAAATGATTCTCTTAAATAACTTGAGTCAGTCACAATTTCACAGACACCCAAAGACATTCAGCTTTAAATAATCAATAAATCTATCGGAACACCTTAAACGCTGCCAAACTGTTTTGGTGACGTAAACGTTGCTCGAGTTGTTCATCCACCTAAACTCGCTGAGAACATATTAGTCAACAAAAAAACAAAGAAAATTCCTCTTAACGGCGTCGTCGTTTGGGGTTTTCTGACTAACAGCTGTGGAAAATTCCAAAATAATGAAGTAAGGTAAAAAAAAATAAGAAATGAGAAACTAACAGCTCTCAGAGACAAAATGTACTGAGATCTGATCCCCAGCTCGGCTTTATTACTCTTTTAGTTCATTTATTGTTTATGTTACAGCACAGACCACAGCATGTAGAGCTTTATATTGTTTTAACCTTTTATTTACCCAGGAAGTCTGAAATGAGACTGAAATCTCTGGCCGGGACGGCACACCAGTTAGAACTTGGACAGAAATAAAAACACAGCCGGGTGAAAACAAAGGACTAAATCCGGCTCACATGAAGCTAGAAGTCATTACACACCTTTCATCACTTAGCGTGACTTTGTGATTAATCACAAATAAAGTTCAGCTGTTCTAGGAGGATTTTCCTGATATTTTCTTAGTCGCATCTCCGAGCAAAAGCCACGGTCCGCAGAGAGCTTTCAAAGCATCAGAGAGATCTCATTGTTGAAAGACATAAGTCAGGAGACGGGTACAGAAGAGTTTCCAAAGCATTAGATATACCATGGAACACATGGAAGAGGCCTACAGCAACATTAAAGGAACTGCAGGGATTTATGGCAGGTACTGGCTGTGTGGTACATGTGACAACTATCTCCTTATTCTTCATATGAATGGGGTAGGGTGGCAAGACGGAAGCCTTTTCTTACAAAGAAAAACATCCAAGCACGGCTGAAGTTTGCAAAAGTCCCCCAAAAGCATGTGGGAAAATGTGTTATGGTCTGATGAAACCAAGGTAGAACTTTTTGGCCATAATTCCAAAAGGTATGTTTGGTGCAAAAACAACACTGCACATCACCCAAGGAACTCAAACCCACAGTGAAGCATGGTGGTGGCAGCATCACGCTTTGGGGCAGTTTTGCTTCAGCTGGAACCGGGGCCTTAGTCGGGGTGGAGGGAATTATGAACGGTTCCAAATACCAGGCAGTTTTAGCACAAAACCTTCAGGCTTCAGTTAGAAAGCTGAAGATGAAGTTCACCTTTCAGCACAACAACTGCCCGAAGCACACATCCAAATCCACAAAAGCACGGTTTCACCAGAAGAAGATTAATGTTTTGGAACAGCCCAGCCAGAGCCCAGACCTGAATCCAACTGAACATCTGTGGGGTGATCTGAAGAGGCCTGTGCACAGGCGACATCCTCGCAATCTGACAGATTTGGAGCGCTTTTGCAAAGAAGAGTGGGCAAATATTGCCATGTCAAGATGTGCCATGCTGAAAGACTCCTACCCAAAAAGACTGACTGCTGTAATAATATCAAAAGGTGCTTCAGCAAAGTATTAGTCTAAGGGTGTGCACACTTATGCAACCAGGTTATTGTTGGGTTTTTATTTTTCCCCCTCAAAGATTTCAGTTTGTTTTTCTATCGAATTGTTCACATTAAAAGGTGGAAAAAGTTCTACTTTGTTTTATTATTTTCCACCACAAGAAGCTGGCAGTTTAACAGGGGTGTGTCGACTTTTTCTATCCACTGTACTTAGATTTACAGAACTACAAACATGGAGGAGCTCTAAAACTGATTTTTTTTCCCCTGCATTATCTGCTGCTAATAAACAAAAAGATGAAGGAAGTAAAAACAGCAGTTTGTCATAAATCTGTTGTTTTCTATATAGAACGTAGAGAAGCATTAATAATCGTTTCATGATCGCAGCTCTGATTCAAGCGGTTGTCTGTCTGTACATCCATGCTAACCGCTAACCGCTGATGGCTGAAAACCGAGCACTCAGGACGCAGGACAACATCGTCCCAGCTCACAGAGCAGGAGTGACCGTCTCCATGAACACCTCGCCATCCTCCCTCCTTTCACAGACTTATTCTGAGAGTAAACCCGCGACACGGCGAGTCAGTGAAGAAGCTTCTCCGGGACGCGTGACAAACCTGAGAAGATTAAAAATATTAAAAGCAGGAGGCGGCGCCCTGCGAGTCAGTTTATGCAGCTTTCCTGGAAGCTCAGCGGGTCACATGACGCAAGCGACCACGGGTACTGGAGCTCTGGTGAAACTGGTGCGTGACACGTTTACAGAAACAGGGAAGCACCTAAATAACATTCAGACAGAAGTTAAATTTGGAACCTATTCGTGTATTTCCTGCTCGACGGGGAGGCCGAGCTGAAGTTCAGCGTCTGAAACCCCCCCCCCCCCAACAGACACCAACACGCAGACGCCAGGTTCCTGCTGGACACCACCTGGACTCAGTCTGTGGCTGCATGTGGGACCCCAAAAACCTCCTCAAAGACCTCTTCCTTTAGCACTCCTTCCCCCGTTCAAGTATCACAAAACACTCTTTAAACGCTACAAGCACCTTTGGGATTATTAAGGACCCTTGGAATGTCCTCAAGCACTCCTTGAACCCCTTCAAGGTCCCCTGGAATCTCCTAAACCCTCTTGGAGTCTCCCTGTTTCACTGACTGGCTGAATAAAGCTGGGTTTCAAAGACCTGCTCTGTGCCCAGGAGGTGGGTTTGTGGCTCTGCAGCGCCCCCCGCAGGAGGACACTGAACACTGACAGCTGGCACATCAGGTCATTTCAGCTCAGGTGTTTCTGGCTGCTCGCTGCGTCACCTCTGAATAAAACAAGAGAGTCTTTACAAACCAAACGATAAATGGACTCATGGAGGAAATAATCAGCAGATGGATCCAGAATGAAAAGAATCATCAGCTGCAGTCTGAAACTGAAAATTTCAGAACGAGCTGCAGCAGCAACATCCGTATAATGTATAATGTCTCCACCAAGGTACAACTTAAATATATAAGTATAACTAAAGCCCATCAGCTCGACTCGCCTTTGATTGGGTTTCCACTGTAGAAATGTTGCACCTGCACCTGCTTCCAGGTACTTTTTTTCCATATCACCTCACCTCCGTCAAGCGAGCTGAGGGATACTAAAATGTAACGTGAAAACACAACAGACTGCTGATTGATCAGAGAGAATCGTCACTATTCACTGCACCAGACAGAGGCCAGCAACAGGAAGTTTTATATTTTACAGTTTTCATCACTAAATCCACTTCTGAGAAGTTTTGAGGTGAGAAATCAGCTGTGTAGATTTCCAATATTGACAGTTTTACATAAAGTGATGGCGGAACAAGAATGTGCTTGAATATTTTCAGAGTTGAGGAGCTCTGCAGGTGGCGGCGGGGGAAGCCTGCTGTGATCCACGGGAGGAGCGTGTGAGGCCGGCCAGCCGCCCGCTCACAGAGCCCTCTGCTCCCGCCGTCACACAGACCGCTGCAGCAACAACGGCAGAGGAAAACACAGCTGGAAGGTTTTCATACCGCTTGTCTGTCTTTACATTCTGAGGAAGGTTCAAACGCTTTAACTTAAAAAAGAGAAAGCTGTGTGCGGCGTCGCATTGAACATTAAGTTGCGGCAGCTATGTATGGCGTCTATGGCGTCGCTATGACGACCAGCTACATTGAGGGGTCCTATCTGCAATGGAAAACGGAGGACGGTCAAACCGAGTGGAGGCGAGCGGGTACTGGTAAAACGGCATAAATCAAGTTTTCCAGGCAGAGAAAACTGAGAGCTCAGTAGGATGATGGTCCTCCAGTTTCATCTTTCTCCAGTCGTTGATGTGAAAGTGTTATAAATGTGATTTCAGGAGCCGTTAGGTTGCTGCAGGACAGCTGCTGCCTCCCTGTGCCTGCAGCCGGACAGCAAAGAGAAACATATTGTGGATTTTGGAAATGGTCTCTTTTATATTGATTTTGACTCTTGGGACTTTCTGGAAACCAGAAATGTTTGGATCACACGAGTCAAACAATCCTACGCTGGAATCTAATCCTACAAATGAGTGAAGCCTGATTTTATTCGTGTTTCACCTTTAATACTGCTGAAAAACTAAAGTGTCTGAACTCGATCCATAAAGGCTCAGTCTACGTCACAAGAGACGGTTTAAACTACATGATGTTGCTTGTTGTTACGCGTCTTCTCTTCTTTATCTTTTTTTAGTTTTCATTAAAAGGTCGAGCCTAATATTTTGTACAAATACTGTTTCTTTGGTTTTGAAAATGATATTAAAAAGGCAAGAGAAGCTTCCACATATGGTACTTAAATACAGTACTAAAGTGAGTTCACCCCTCACATGTCTGTAAATATCTGATTCTGATCTTTTCATGTGACACTGAAGAAATGACACTCTGCTCCAGTGTAAAGTAGTGAGCGTGCAGCTTGTATAACAGTGTAAAGTAGCGAGCGTGCAGCTTGTATAACAGTGTAAAGTAGTGAGCGTGCAGCTTGTAGAACAGTGTAAAGTAGTGAGCGTGCAGCTTGTAGAACAGTGTAAAGTAGCGAGCGTGCAGCTTGTAGAACAGTGTAAAGTAGTGAGCGTGCAGCTTGTAGAACAGTGTAAAGTAGTGAGCGTGCAGCTTGTATAACAGTGTAAAGTAGCGAGAGTGCAGCTTGTAGAACAGTGTAAAGTAGTGAGCGTGTAGTGAGCGTGCAGCTTGTAGAACAGTGTAAAGTAGCGAGAGTGCAGCTTTTAGAACAGTGTAAAGTAGTGAGCGTGCAGCTTGTAGAACAGTGTAAAGTAGTGAGCGTGCAGCTTGTAGAACAGTGTAAAGTAGCGAGCGTGCAGCTTGTAGAACAGTGTAAAGTAGCGAGAGTGCAGCTTGTAGAACAGTGTAAAGTAGTGAGCGTGTAGTGAGCGTGCAGCTTGTAGAACAGTGTAAAGTAGTGAGCGTGTAGTGAGCGTGCAGCTTGTAGAACAGTGTAAAGTAGTGAGCGTGTAGTGAGCGTGCAGCTTGTAGAACAGTGTAAAGTAGCGAGAGTGCAGCTTGTAGAACAGTGTAAAGTAGTGAGCGTGTAGTGAGCGTGCAGCTTGTAGAACAGTGTAAAGTAGCGAGCGTGCAGCTTGTAGAACAGTGTAAAGTAGCGAGCGTGCAGCTTGTAGAACAGTGTAAAGTAGCGAGCGTGCAGCTTGTAGAACAGTGTAAAGTAGCGAGCGTGCAGCTTGTAGAACAGTGTAAAGTAGTGAGCGTGCAGCTTGTAGAACAGTGTAAAGTAGTGAGCGTGCAGCTTGTATAACAGTGTAAAGTAGCGAGCGTGCAGCTTGTAGAACAGTGTAAAGTAGTGAGCGTGTAGTGAGCGTGCAGCTTGTAGAACAGTGTAAAGTAGTGAGCGTGCAGCTTGTATAACAGTGTAAAGTAGCGAGAGTGCAGCTTGTAGAACAGTGTAAAGTAGTGAGCGTGTAGTGAGCGTGCAGCTTGTAGAACAGTGTAAAGTAGTGAGCGTGCAGCTTGTAGAACAGTGTAAAGTAGCGAGCGTGCAGCTTGTAGAACAGTGTAAAGTAGTGAGCGTGTAGTGAGCGTGCAGAACAGTGTAAAGTAGCGAGAGTGCAGCTTGTAGAACAGTGTAAAGTAGTGAGCGTGTAGTGAGCGTGCAGCTTGTAGAACAGTGTAAAGTAGCGAGCGTGCAGCTTGTAGAACAGTGTAAAGTAGCGAGCGTGCAGCTTGTAGAACAGTGTAAAGTAGCGAGCGTGCAGCTTGTAGAACAGTGTAAAGTAGCGAGCGTGCAGCTTGTAGAACAGTGTAAAGTAGCGAGCGTGCAGCTTGTATAACAGTGTAAAGTAGTGAGCGTGCAGCTTGTATAACAGCGTAAAGTAGTGAGCGTGCAGCTTGTATAACAGCGTAAAGTAGTGAGCGTGCAGCTTGTATAACAGTGTAAAGTAGTGAGCGTGCAGCTTGTATAACAGTGTAAAGTAGTGAGCGTGCAGCTTGTATAACAGTGTAAAGTAGTGAGCGTGCAGCTTGTAGAACAGTGTAAAGTAGTGAGCGTGCAGCTTGTAGAACAGTGTAAAGTAGTGAGCGTGCAGCTTGTAGAACAGTGTAAAGTAGTGAGCGTGCAGCTTGTATAACAGTGTAAAGTAGCGAGAGTGCAGCTTGTAGAACAGTGTAAAGTAGTGAGCGTGTAGTGAGCGTGCAGCTTGTAGAACAGTGTAAAGTAGTGAGCGTGCAGCTTGTAGAACAGTGTAAAGTAGTGAGCGTGCAGCTTGTATAACAGTGTAAAGTAGCGAGTGTGCAGCTTGTAGAACAGTGTAAAGTAGTGAGCGTGTAGTGAGCGTGCAGCTTGTAGAACAGTGTAAAGTAGTGAGCGTGCAGCTTGTAGAACAGTGTAAAGTAGCGAGCGTGCAGCTTGTAGAACTGTGTAAAGTAGCGAGTGTGCAGCTTGTAGAACAGTGTAAAGTAGCGAGCGTGTAGTGAGCGTGCAGCTTGTAGAACAGTGTAAAGTAGCGAGAGTGCAGCTTGTAGAACAGTGTAAAGTAGTGAGCGTGTAGTGAGCGTGCAGCTTGTAGAACAGTGTAAAGTAGCGAGCGTGCAGCTTGTAGAACAGTGTAAAGTAGCGAGCGTGCAGCTTGTAGAACAGTGTAAAGTAGTGAGCGTGCAGCTTGTAGAACAGTGTAAAGTAGTGAGCGTGCAGCTTGTATAACAGTGTAAAGTAGTGAGCGTGCAGCTTGTAGAACAGTGTAAAGTAGCGAGAGTGCAGCTTGTAGAACAGTGTAAAGTAGTGAGCGTGTAGTGAGCGTGCAGCTTGTAGAACAGTGTAAAGTAGTGAGCGTGCAGCTTGTAGAACAGTGTAAAGTAGCGAGCGTGCAGCTTGTAGAACAGTGTAAAGTAGTGAGCGTGTAGTGAGCGTGCAGCTTGTAGAACAGTGTAAAGTAGTGAGCGCACAGCTTGTATAACAGTGTAAAGTAGTGAGCGTGTAGTGAGCGTGCAGCTTGTAGAACAGCGTAAAGTAGCGAGCGTGCAGCTTGTATAACAGCGTAAAGTAGCGAGCGTGCAGCTTGTAGAACAGTGTAAAGTAGTGACCGTACAGCTTGTATAACAGTGTAAAGTAGTGAGCGTGTAGTGAGCGTGCAGCTTGTAGAACAGTGTAAAGTAGTGAGCGTACAGCTTGTAGAACAGTGTAAAGTAGTGAGCGTACAGCTTGTAGAACAGTGTAAAGTAGTGAGCGTACAGCTTGTATAACAGTGTAAAGTAGTGAGCGTGCAGCTTGTGTCACAGTGTAAAGTAGTGAGCGTGCAGCTTGTGTCACAGTGTAAAGTAGTGAGCGTGTAGTGAGCGTACAGCTTGTGTCACAGTGTAAAGTAGTGAGCGTGCAGCTTGTGTCACAGTGTAAAGTAGTGAGCGTACAGCTTGTGTCACAGTGTCAAGTAGTGAGCGTGTAGTGAGCGTACAGATGTATAACAATGTAAAGTAGTGAGCGTGCAGCTTGTGTCACAGTGTAAAGTAGCGAGCGTGCAGCTTGTGTCACAGTGTAAAGTAGCGAGCGTGCAGCTTGTGTCACAGTGTAAAGTAGCGAGCGTGCAGCTTGTGTCACAGTGTCAAGTAGCGAGCGTGCAGCTTGTGTCACAGTGTCAAGTAGCGAGCGTGCAGCTTGTGTCACAGTGTCAAGTAGCGAGCGTGTAGCGAGCGTGCAGCTTGTATAACAGCGTAAAGTAGCGAGCGTGCAGCTTGTATAACAGCGTAAAGTAGCGAGCGTGTAGCGAGCGTGCAGCTTGTATAACAGCGTAAAGTAGCGAGCGTGCAGCTTGTATAACAGCGTAAAGTAGCGAGCGTGCAGCTTGTAGAACAGCGTAAAGTAGCGAGCGTGCAGCTTGTAGAACAGCGTAAAGTAGCGAGCGTGCAGCTTGTAGAACAGCGTAAAGTAGTGAGCGTGCAGCTTGTAGAACAGCGTAAAGTAGTGAGCGTGCAGCTTGTAGAACAGCGTAAAGTAGTGAGCGTGCAGCTTGTAGAACAGTGTAAAGTAGTGAGCGTGCAGCTTGTAGAACAGTGTAAAGTAGTGAGCGTGCAGCTTGTAGAACAGTGTAAAGTAGTGAGCGTGCAGCTTGTAGAACAGTGTAACAGTGTAATGACTTAACTTCAAGTAGCAGTGGAAGGAAATTAACCACATTTCTACAGTAAACACCTTGGAGCAGCCTGTTAATACACCTCAGAAGCTTTATTTGGACTCATTATATATATTTTTGATATAATATTTATGAAGGAAGACAGAGCGGCTGGTTATCAGTTGATCCTACAGTGAAATAATGAACAAACCCCTTCATTTAATTGTTAATTTTAGATCTGAAAATGTCTGTTTTTGTGACATTTTAACTACTTTTGTACCATTTCAGGTTTTTCACTGGACTACTGAGATTTAAATACAAACAACAAACATGGAGGCTGTTATAAAAGTTCTGACCACTAGTGTAAATGATGATGATTAGTTGGTTAATTATAGGAATAACAGATTCCACTACAGACAGACAGACAGGTGTGTTTACCTCTGGGCTCCCGTAGTTTCTCTTGATCACGTACCAAAGTCTGCATGTAATGAGCATGTGCAGCAGCGAGCTTCCTATGAACACGATGAAACCGTTTTTATGAACACCTGCAGACACAAACAAGACGGTTGTCGCCTCTCAGTTCAGATCAACACTTCAGCAGCAGTAACAGTGAATACATTAGCAGCAGGCTCGTGGAGCTCTGATGAGTGCGTGACAGCGAGCGCTTCAACAACACGTGCAGCTGCTTTACAACATGGAATATAACTGAACCCTTTTAAACTACAGCAACATGTAGGGAACCCTCTTCCTCTCTGGGACTCAGATGTCCAGACTGACGCCTCTCTCATGTCTGTACAGTAAATATGAAGCTACAGCAGCAGCTGGTTGGCTTAGCTTAGCATAAAGTGTTTGGTTAAACTGTAAAAATCAAGCAGCAAACGAGACAGAACGAGGTCTGAAAAGTTAAGAGCCTTAAACCTGCGTCTTCTCCAGCAGCCAGCAGGGGGCGACTCCAGCGCCTGCAGAAAGAAGTGTGATTGTATAGAAGTCTCTGAGAAAATGTTTCTGCTTCTCAGCTGATTTATTCCCTCAGTAAACAGTAGTAGTAGTTTCAAGTCTTCTTCAACACAGCGTGATGTTCATTTAGTAAATTATGGTCCCATTTAGAGGAACAGAGACCAGGAAGCAGGGAAGGTTTTAAGTAAAAGAAAAAAAGAAGAAATAATAATTTTCTGATTATGGAGTAACAGCTGATTGTGACCCCTGACAATGAGGCAGCGACGGACGAGACGCCACACGGACCCGACTCTAAACGGGGATTTTCTCTGTCAAAACGTTTTAATTTTACTCGTGATCCATTTAAGAGCAACAAAATCCACCAGTGAGGGAGACGACAGAGCGAGGGGGTTAATAAACGCCTGCTGAACCCGTTCAGCGCCGGCCAGTTTGACACGGACAGACGGAGCTCGTTATGCTGACAGTAACTGAAGGTAACAGCTGAGCCTGATTAGCTTTGTGGTCCAAGGCTTTATGTAAAGATTCATTAGTTCAGGAGCATGTAAAGTTATTTATGATAATCTGGTGATTAATTACTTTATCCCAAACGTGTATTCTTTAATCTAACATGGAGTCAATCTAAAAATATTTATTTACCGTCCTCTTCACCAACAGATCATCATCAGCACTGAAACTCCACATCAGCGTTTCTCTAGTAAAAATGACAACACGTCGTTTTAAGCGGAGTTACGTGTCGGTGGTACTCACTGTAGCGGAGTTACGTGTCGGTGGTACTCACTGTAGCGGAGTTACGTGTCGGTGGTACTCACTGTAGGTTTCAGTGGACGCCACGTATGTGAGCAGCAGCAGGCCGGTGTTTTCGGAGAGGCTGCAGAGGAGCGCCAGCCCGCTCAGCAGCAGCTCCGGCAGCCGCTGGGGGAAGCGGGCGCGGTAGAAGCTGAAGTAGGCGACGGCCACCATGTAGCGCGGCGCCGAATGCAGGCCGATGCAGCAGCGCCAGATGTAGCGCTCCGGCACGCGGCTGATGGCGGCGCTGATGGATGGGAGGTAGTTTGATACCTGGATGGACAGAAAGAATAAAACTCACAAAGATGTCCTCAGAGAGATGACGAGTCCGATTAGTTGTCAACTATTTAATTAATCACCAGCTTTTTAAAGAAATAAAAATCTAAATTCTGAATATTTTCCTTACTCTTCTACAACAAAAAACAGAATATATTTGGGTTTTGGACGAAACAAGACGAAGACGTCATCTTGAGCTTTGGATCCACATTTTTACATTTTCAGGATCTAACCTGATCGCCTGATCGAGAGAATAATCGTTCGTTTCAGCCGTCGTGATAACTGAATGTTTATTGTTGTAGAGTCTCACAGTGACTCATGCTGCTCCTCCAACAAACCTGTAAAATCCTCCAAATGTGTTATAAGTCTATAAAAACACACTGAATCTAGTGTATAATTCCTCTCATATTAAAGCTTCTAAATTAACATTCTGCTTCCAAACAAACATTTGTCCAACATTAAACATTATTTTGTTAGAGCAGCGTGATACCGTACGTACACGACAGTGTGTGAACGTTGCGTCTTCAAAGTGGTACATGATTGAAAGGAAGAGGCAGGCGATGAGGCCGGTCAGAGGCAGCAGGACCGTCCCCACGGCGAAGCTGGTGAAGGGGAGCCGGATGAGGGGCCGGTCCCGGTCCAGGCTGCCATATGGCCCCTGGAGCATCCTGGACAAACATGACAGAAGACAAAACAGATCACACATTTGACCTCTACAACAGCTGAGTGTCCAAAGCTTGATGAGTAAAGCTAATGATTATATAATAAGTATAGTAATATATATATATATATATTAGCCAAATGAAGAAGATAATCTGTGATCAATAAACATACCGAGTGACATTATACAGCTGGAAAATTATCCTGTCAGCGCTCCCTGGTGGACAACCTCTGTCATGAGACTTTAAAGGACCTGGTTGGTATTTCTGCACTTCAAAGGTTTAGCTATTTATTGATCCACACGTTGACACAGATATATCTGCAACAAGCTAATATATTGCCTAAAACGACACGGAAATCCATTAAAGTCCTTCTTCTCAATGGGACAGCAGGCTGTAAAGTCCTAATCCATCCGTTTACACGACGTGTTCAGTGATCAATATAATCTGCTACTTTACATCTACAGATTATAAATCTATGCCGAACTGTAGGGCAGCTCACCAGACTCAATAATCATCTAAAAACCAGCATTAGTTTCTGCTGCAACGCGAGTAAACTTTAAAATTTTAAAAAATATGAATGGAGTTCGGCGCGCTGTTCTCTCCCGGATGTACAGAACGCGTTGCTAAACGAACAGCGAGTGTTTAACCTTTCCAGGCAAAGCAGTCAGCAGCTATTTTTTTTTAACCAAGGGGCTGTTATAACCTGAAACACTCACCTTTACAGCTCCACGGAGCGGCTCGACCAGGTGCTCATTTCACCACCTTTAGCCCAAAGAGCTAATCCTGTTAGCTACTCAGGGATCATAACAAAGCTAATTAGCCAACGTTAGCTTCGAACTCCAGTCGGCTCTAAGGTTAAATAAGGTTAGACTTAGATGTGTTTAAAGTATCTTAGCCACATGTGTAACTTCTCCACAGCTGCCGCAGACACCTCAGCGTCACTGACAGGCTTTATAATCGTGATTTTTCTGTTAGTTTTATGATTTTTTGTCGGACTGGGCGGCGAACTTTGACCGGAATCAAGCTAGCTACAACTTCCGCTACAACCTTCAGAATAAAGGTCTTCTTCTTCTTCTTTTCGTTAACCATGACTTTTAAAGGTGCATACCGCCACCTACTGTACCGGAGTATGTAGCACGAATTATGTTGGATGGAGCAACTTTACATCATATTAATAATTAAAACACATCCCTATACATATATTCTTTAGATATTGCACAACAGCTTTCTGTGTGTCCTTTACCCCCCCCCCCTCCTCTTGTTGTTCTTAATAAACCTTCAAGGTTCCATTTACTTATCTTTTGATTCAACCTTTTCCTCTCATCCCTATATTTCCTACAAAGTGACAGTATATATTTTACATTTTCCGTGGATTTACATTCCAAACATTCATCTCACTGACTTTTAACTAATAAAATCTGTGTTTTATTTAACTCTTTTCCTTCTAGTCACACATACTTCTGCACACCAATAATATTTCCTTGCACTATTTATTCATGTCCCACCTGTGCCGTCATTTCTTCATCATTTCTATTGTAACATCGTTTGTCTGGGTTAAAGACGAGACAACAGGTTTTTATGTCAACTTTACTTAAAATCACAATGAAACTTTACTAAATGTAAACATGATAGAACTTTTGATGTTTTTTCTTTTATATGCAAAATTAGCTATTTCCTCATTAAATATGCGCTGATTTGCATATCACACAAATGTATTTTCCAGCACATTGATAAGAGTCAGATGGATTATTGTATTTTTTTGTGATAATATACCAACCGATCAGACAATTACTGAACGGTTTATCAATTTAATGGATACCACTCATATGTGTGACGGACCATTTTCCCCCCACATATTTATAGATGAAACACCACATAAAATGAGAATGATTACAGATCTGTAAATGTCTCACTATAAGACCTCAGAGACAGTATGTAAAGTTATGATGATCTAACGGTGTTGACGGGCAAGGAAAACGACTTGGCGTACAGGAAACAAGTCATCTGTTAGTTTCAGTGGTGGAAGAAGTATTCAATTTTCATACTCTGGTAAAAGTGCAGATACCACATGAAAAAATTTAGAGTCACCAATCAACCAATCAGCATGTCTTTGGATGGTGGGAGGAAGCACCCAAGCAGACACGGGGAGAACATGCAAACTCCACACAGAAAGGCCGGGACAACCGTGCCGCCCCAAGTAAAACACATATTTTTAAATTAAAATTATTGGTAATTTAGCATCCTGATTGGTTTTAAATAATTTAGCATCCTTATTACATTCTTACAAACATCATGTTCAACACTTGTTAACATATTTCACATGTTTTAATGAAGCTGATTTCATCATAAGCAAAGCCTCATTTGCTATCTGCATGTAAGCATCCTATCATTCTCAGTACTTTCTTTAAATGTAATTTTTACTACTTTCAACACAACTTAGTATTTCAATACATTTTCGAAACAGCATCTTCTTATATATTTGGTAACACAGAAAACAATATGGGGAAGTGCTGCTGCTGTCTATAATGTTTTCACCTCAGACGCAATATCGAGCAATTCGTCTTGCACTTTGCGCTTCTCGTTTCCCAACTACTCAGCTCTTTACAACAGATCTATTGTCTTGGTTTTTCTGGCTGACCCAGAAATAGACCAGATAGATAAATGCCTTTATTCATCCCCACAGGGAAATTCAAATGTCCATCAGCATACAATGTGTGCTGTCTACCAACAGGCATTCTCACCACAGTACACTCATAAAAACAGTTCATGATAAAAAATAAATAAATAAAAGTCCTACAAGCTCCTATCATTAATAGTATATAAATGGTGCACTTCAAACAGATCCATTATGCAGTCGGCACAAATGACCTCCTGAACCTCTCAGTCCTGCAGCTCATAGAGAGGAATCGGTCACTGCGGCTGCTTTGCTGATAAACCACAGTGTCGTGCAGTGGGTGGCAAAGGTACAGCATCTCATTACATACTTGGAAGGATTTTAGCTTCCTAAGAAAAAACGAGTCTGCTCTGACCTTTCCTATAAGCTGCATTTACATGTATTGACCAGTCCAGTTTATGGTCCAGGTGGACTCCCAGATATTTGTGCGTCTGGCACACCTCAGTGACCTCCCCCTCAATTACCACAGGCAGATGATTTAACTTACGCCTCCCAAAGTCCACTATCATCTCCTTGGTTTTGGAAGTGTTGAGGATGAGACCATTGCACCTGCTCCAGACCACAAACTCCGAGATGACCCTCCTGGATTCCTCCTCGTCTCCTCCCCTCACACAAGCCGCCACCACAGCGTCATTAGAATATTTTTGTATATGGCATGACGATGTCCTGTAAGAAAGCACAGCAAGACATCATCAAAAACACCAGCAAAAGTTAAAATATAGAAGCAGAATTAGTGAAGATGTGTTACAAAACATACATAATCATAGTCCATCACAGTAGGGATGTCCTGTCTTCAGCACACAGCACAAAAGACACCAGCTTATTCCACAAAGTCGTGTTTTTGGTGAAAGTAGCATGATCAGCAGAGGGCAGGTCATCATGTTTGATCATTTTAGTATCCTTAATTAGTAGTAATCATTAATCACTCTTAATTCATCATTTTTAATCAATAATTTTATTATCTTTAATCAATATTAATAAGTAATCATTCTTAGTTCATCATTTATAATCATTAGTAGTTAGTTTATTAATTATCCTTACTTACTTCTTAATCTTTGAACATTATCGAGATGATTCTTATTTTCTACTTAGAAGTGCTGTGCTGTGATCATGAATGCAGTAACAAAGTTGAGATCCCTGAGTGGGAGCATTGGCTGCAGACACTGAGACTATGCACGCCTTGTTCAACTGTTATCTACTGTAGATTTATTACAGCAGGGGAGGCTGCAGGCGTTCAAAATCTACTGTGACAAGTGCATGCTTTGGTCTGCTGTTATCTACTGTTGTTATGATAACATGATGAACTGCCGAGGTGTCAGTCTGCTGATATTAAGACTACATCCTTAATTACTGATTAAAGGGGTTGATTGTCAACTTCCAACATCTAATGCATAGTGTGAACTTCGAGTGAACTTGCCCACGGGCTTTTGGTGATTGCTGACGAAGCATTTGCTGACTCTGCTCTGCAGAGTGGGTGAGATTCAAAGGTAGAAAGTCGATGGGTAGATGAAGACAAGAAAAAGTAGTAAAAAGTCAGTATAACAACAAGATTACTGTAAGAAACCAAGCATCAATGCCCAGAAGGGGTCTGCAGACCATAGGAGGGACTTCATCCCCCGACCTGCTGGGATGTACGGGTTTTTTTGCACCGACTCTTGACCGTCTCCAGAGAAGTTTTTGAATGCAGAGTTATTGAGTATAATAGAAAGTTAATGGAGTATTTTTTTGACAAAGTTTATAAAGCTGGTGAAGGTGGGGACCAGGCTTAACTGGCCCAGCCTGGTCGCACATCTGACCCAACAGACAACTCTGCATTTCTCATGGTAGTCAGGTGCAGTGTTTGTCTATCTGAAGAAATTTCTCTTTCTTCACATCATCAGTACATTTAAACATTAAGGTTTCAAATCATGTGAATATTACATTTTCCAAAGAACTAACTTCGTATGGTGCCAGAGACTGAACAAACATCCCTAAATGAGCTGAGCCCCCCGGAGTCAGGCCTTCACTTGTTCTTATTTTGATTAATGAATATCCCAGTTAGAGCTGTTTAAACATCACGATTAAGCAACATTAGTATAATGTAATTAAACAATGTGATTAAGCAACTGCACAGCAACCTGTTTATAAGATGACTTTCGCAATGTTTTCAACAATTATGCTTCATCATAATGATAAGATGATTTTTCTTGTGTCAGAGTGAAACACATTTAAACATATTTCCCTTCCAATTCTATCAGCCTGCAGTACATCTTTGCATGCCAACGTTTTGACACATACTCATCTTTGCAGTATATTAAAACATCAGGATACTGAATTAAAGTTAATTTGTTTTTTAACCATTTCTTATTCGTGGATAAACAACAAGACATATTCAGTCAATTCCATTCAATTCAAACTAGCTTTATTGGCATAAATGTAAAACAACAATATTGCCAAAGCTGCAAATACATTACAAAAGAACAATTCATTATATACAGTTCATTAATCACTATAAAAAAATAAAAAAATAAATTTAAAATAAAGTAAATAAAGCAGTAAAAGAATGTGTTTATTAAAATAAAATAAAAAAAATCAATAAAACAGTAAACATGTGTGAGTGTGTGTATATTAATAGACAAAAAATCTGTATCAAATGTGAAATAAAAACAATAGTAGGGGTATGACGGGACACACAAGATGAGACAAGGTGAGATTTTTTATACTTTTTCAAAGAAAAGACAATATTCAGGTGACAGGTGACAATTCAAACTCTGCCAGAGTCAAAGTCAGTGCAGCTCTCAGATCTGTTTCTCCTGTAGATCAATTTTTTTATCTCTTTAAAGTCTTTGTTTGGGGAAGTAACCTCTTTAAATATGACTGTGGCTTCTTTTCACCTCACTAATAAATTATTTAATTCAGTTTTAAACTCCTGGACTTTAATAGCTCCTGTGTTTCAGCATCTCTCCCACAGATCTGTGTTCTCTGACATGTCCAGGAGAAAAGTCAAAATATCAACAGACTGACATCATTTACTGAGAAGCGTGACCTTTACTCTCCTGTGTGTTATCTTATTGATCCACTGGTAGCAACGTCTGCCCCTTCAGACCGTTTGACCGACGCAGTTTGGTTTCTGCAGGCTGCATGTTAAACTGAAACTAACTGAAACACTTGTGATCAGGCAAAAATCTCACCACAAATCTACACATTAACTTTAGCAGCTCAAAGTGCAGCTCACAGTCCCAAACAGAGGAAAGCTGCGCCTCAGTTTGAGATGTTCATGTTGCAAAACTCAACCAGCTACGTTACCACTCGTCACAGCTGTCTGGACTCACAGCATGAGCAGTGCGGTTCAGTTCTTTACTATCCAGGCGCACGCCGATGTTGCATCAGCTGGGGAGAGTTGATTAGCTCCGTGAGTCTATCTTATCAATTATACATTTGTATTTCACTGCGTGAGAAAATGAATGTGTGGCTTGACTGCATGTGAAAAATGTCAATTGCGTGAGTCTCGCGAAACAGCTTTTTACCTGATGAGAAATCCTGTATCTGTCCTTATCTTCTTTTACTGACCACAACAGCATCTATGCACCGTTATCTGATCAGCTGCTGTAAATTAACTTGGTAATGAGGAATATAAACTGCTGCTTTACCGCTAACAGGTCTAACACTGTGCTTGAACACGTGAGACAAGCTGTAAAGTCAAAGTACAGCTGAGGCTAATGGCTGAACAGTTACCTGGTTTGTGCTTGTTTTGCGTAATCCAGCTTAGAAAACAAAGTTCATAATTCAGCTGATATAAAACACGCCCTTGGTGCCAGGGACAGCACCAGTTTATGACTCCTACACAAAGCAAACAAGAAACAAAAAGTAAATACGTGTTGTAATTTATATTGTATCTTTAGGATTCCTTCCTCACATGATGACTCACACAATGTATTCATGACAATCTCATATCTCTTTAGAACAGGAGCTGGGTGTGGTTTATATACATCAGTCTGCTGGAGTTGGAGATCAGATCAGAGATCACACGTCTCCAGAGCAGAGCAGACTAAGTAAAGACATTGGAAAATTTGTCTTTGTCTTTTTATTTGACATAATTCCTCATCTGACCATGTACACCCGATACAACAGGAGAGGATATCCTGAACGTGTTGTTGAAAGTCAGCACCTGAAGCTGGACGATTTGAGACAAGAAGCTTGGAGAATAAGGTTAAAAAACAATTACCTGTACATAGACATGCCAGCTTCCCCCCGACCAGAGTTTCAAGTGTCTCATCTGAAACACGACACAAACCAAACTGGACTAAGAGGCATCAAGACTGATGAAGGCTTCAGGAACCCAGGCAGAGGCTCTCTGCTGTGGTGGAGTCTGGCTGTGGGACCTGATGAGATAGCGTCAGCTGAGAGGAGGCTCCTGGAGACGACCTTCCCGGACCGGACGGAGGAGCAGGTCCAGATGCAGCAGAGCTTCCTGGAGAAGTTTACCACCTCCCCGGCCTTCGAGCAGACCTCCAGGCTGGGCTCGTACCGCTTCACCTTCCCCCTGGAGGAGGTGCTGGAGGCCTACAGCGAGCAGGTACTGAGGGTCGGGTTATCTTGACTTTTCCACAAACTTTGAATGAAGGGAGCCCTTAAAGCACAGGAGGAAATGATCCCGGACTTATTAAAACCTGTCAGTATTAATCCAGACTGTGGTTTGGTGACACCCTGTGGTAAAAGTGTTTCATCAGGCCTACAGAGAGCAGGTACTGAGGGTCGGGTTATTCTCTATCACAGCTGGTCTGTGATAAATATAATAAAATAATGTGAAGTAAAAATGAAAAATAAATCAGTGGTGAGTGGGGGGAGATGTGATGTTGTTTAAACGTGGAGATGACATTTCTTTTTTTTTGCATTTAAGATTTTATTAATTTTCTTCAGTCAGTCTACAATGACTTATAAATGTCTGTTATCAATATTATCCTTTATATACACACCCGAAAAGGGTGGGAAAACTAACAAAGGAACAAACAAAGGAAACCGTCGACTGTACTTTTATTAACACATCATGTTTCAGCCATGATCATATCAAGCCTTTGACTTTCCCACAGTGAACTTGTGTCACAGTGCTGCTGTGACCACACAATATGAGAAAAAAGGTCGAAAAAGCCTGCAAGGAACTGACAAGCCTACATGCAGCCTCCACACACAAAGAACAACAGGCTCTGACCGCTAGTTCAAACCTAGGTTTGACTTTTCCAGCTGAACCCAAACATGGGTTGCCTTTGGCTAAACTGGGTCCAGGAAATCCTGGGAGCACGGCCAACACATGTACAATCTGTGTACATGTGTTGGCCGTGCTGAAAGCCACGAGACATCTGACCTGGGTCCCACAGGTAGCCCAGCCCCATTTGTGCTCAACGCCATTTTGGGGTTTCAAACCGATCCGCCATAGTCTTTTTTCAGTCACTTTTTCACGTGTAGAGCAACTGGGAATGAGTTCTCATGTATCCTTCTGGGTGAGCTACCTCATGAGCTCACCGCCAGATTTAATAGAAAATCTGGCTGTTTTTGTTTATAACTGTTACATGTCCAAACTCCTTCAGTTTCCTAATTAAAAACAGTCTCTGACTGCTTTTTTATGGAATCAGTATTTTCAGTAAAACTCAATTTGTGCCCCGTATGTCTAACTAAATACTTAAAACAGTTTACAATTTCCACTGATTGACCACAGAGAGGTTTTGTTGTGCCACCCCAGGATTTCCAGTGGCCCCATCATTTCCACCCCTATGAAATATATCTGGGGCTCCACTGGACGGAGTATACTGGCAGCTTTGCTCCGTCTATCTTCACTGTGTCTGTAGTGACGGGGAAACAAAGCTTCTGAAGCACTGAATCAGTGTGAAGCAACTGTGTTTGATTCAGTCAAAATGCCGCCACCCACTGGGCAGCTCCTGGTGTTGCATTTATCTAGAACAGTCAGTGTTCTCATTGTTTTCTTTATTGTTATTTTGTTTGTTTGTTGTTTATTATATTTTTATTATAACTGCTCACTTTTAATCACAGTCTACAGCTCTGTTTTTAAATACTATGGTGAGCAGTTGAAACCAGCAGGACGCCTCTCTGATACGTAACAAGGCCGAGTGGTGAGATGGCACGCAAGGCATTGAAACATCTCCCTGTAATCTTTCTGCTTTGAAAGGTCGGGTTGTGTCGACTGTCTCCTGAACCTGCAGCTGCACAGCGTGTTAAAGAGACGGCAGTTTACGTTAAAAATGCCTCATCAAGAATTTATCAGCCCACAGAGAGAAAACTGCCGTCTTTGTCCTCAGGACGTTTACAGGACTGAGTTTTCCATTAAAACCTCTTTTATTGTCTCCAGTTTTGCAGCGGCGCTCAGCCCGTCATGCGGGTGTACGAGACCGTCCTGTACAAACAGGAAGTGATGTACGTTGTGCTGGTCCACAGCCCAGCCAATCAGGAGCAGTTCTCTAAATATCCTTTGCTGACTGACGACCCAAACTCTGTCTGCACCTACAGAGACGGCTGCTTCATCTGGAGGCCTGAGGCCATGAGTGGGACACACAGGTAAGAACCAGAAACTCTGTGACACCTGAAGCAACCAGTGATGCTTGATCGTCCCGCCATTATTACAGATACCTGATCTAACTGTAGACCCTTGTCTGTTTCTGCTGTTCTGTTTTGGTCAGGTATAAGTTGGTCCTGAGACGTGATGAAATGCAGATGGACGCGGTGCCGGTGACGTCTTGCCCTCAGTTTTATGTTTGGGATCATGTTGCAGTCGCCTTGCATGTGGATGAACAGGTACGTTCGCGACTCGTTCTTCTTTTCACCCCTTTTAAGTCTCAGTACAGAACTGAAAATGACACTGGATCGTTCTGTCCATGTTCTACATATAAATGGTAGGGAAGTCCCAAATGGTCTGCAGGTTCTGGTTCAGACTCAGTCACATTTCAGAGCTCAGGTTGCTTTCGTCTCTAAGTGTTGTTGTGAGATGGAAACTTATTAGCTGCACGTTTTTGAGTCAGTATTATGATACATGACAACTCTGCAGTGGGCTGCATTGCCAGCTTGTTACTGTTCTTTTACTTTTTCAGGTGCTGAACTTTGACGCTGACCGACTGAGAGAGAACCTCATGTGGTGCGATGAAGGAATCGCTGCAATCAGTCACGGTTTTAATAATTTCCCAGAAGCTGAAAAGTTTGTTAGAGAATTATGGTCCGACAATCCCTCACCACTGCAGAAAGCTTGACAGCTAAATTAAGGGAGTCTGTTGTTGTTATGTTGTTCAATAATTGGGGTAAATTTCATGTACATTGATGATACTGATATTTTCTTCTAAAAGATCATATTTTAGTGAAGGGAAAGCATATTATAGAATCAGGGCCTTGGCCTAAATCATTGAAGTTAGCATTATAATTAGGAAACTGAAGGAATTTGGACACTATTATTAAATTTATTTATTGTTTTGTTTTATATGTCTTTGTTTCTGTCAGCAATGTTGTTCTCGCCACCTGTTTCTTATACCTGGTAACCTTTTAATTTGTGAGCTATTGTTAAAAGTTATTCATCTCGACATCAGGAGCCCTGTTTCAAAATTTGATCTTCTCAGAACATGGGCTGCTTTTCATAAACCTAATTTAATCACCATTTCCGAATCGTGGCTTCAAAACGAAATCACTAATGATGAGGTGGGAATTGATCACTATGTTTTATACAGAGCTGATAGGACATCAAGAGCAGGAGGTGTGGCCACTTATGGTGATACAAAACTCAACTAACTAATGTTGTGCCAACTAATTTTGAATGTCTCATCAATATCATCTTTAATTAAAACAAACAGCTTATTATTGGGAATATTTATAGACCGCCCTCTGCTCCCACTGATGCCATAAACGCTATTTTGGCTTTTGATAGACATAATGAACTGATCATATTTGGAGACTTTAACAGTAACTGGTTGGATCGGTCTTTGTCAGGTGATAGAAGTCTTTCAGGTAGTGTAAGCCTCACTCAGACAATTAAAGAAGCTCCTATTTTAAATACATCAAAATAAGGCAATGTGCAAATATTAATGTTGATTATTATATACATGATCTTTTAGCAATTAGATGGGACAGGCTTCAATTAATTCCACCTGTTGATGAGACCTGGAAATGATTTTATACCAAAGTTAGAACTGTAATTGATAAACATGCTCCTGTGAGAATGATTAAAGTCAAAGGTAGACACTTACCATGGATAAACTCTAATCTACTTCAACTATTCAAACAAAGGGATAAAGCTTGGGTTAAATAACGCTCCTCAGAAGACGCCTCTGATAGGACAATCTATAGACAGATAAGGAATAAATGCAAAATCAAAACGAGGAATGCTAAATCTTCTTCTAGAATAATTTAAATTACATTCTCATTAAAAAAAAACATACATTTTACAAGATCCTTTGCTTATAACTCACGCTTTTAATCATCATTTCTCGTGTGTGTAGATAAAAATGTATCATCTCCAATGATTTGGCTGGGTCCTTTAATTACTCATACCCATTGGTGCGTTTTCATAAAAACAAATCTCGCCTACTGAGGTCTATTATGCATTATGTGACCTAAAAGTGAATTGCAGTGCAGGGTCAGATGATCTGGAAGTTTATCAAGCTTACGTCTCAAATACTGATGTTTCCACTCGCAGATCTCTTTAATCTGTCTTTATCCACCTGTACTGTGCCACAGATTTGTCAATCTGACGGAATTACTCCTCTTTTCAAAGGTGGGGACCAACCAGATGTGAATAATTATCACCCGATTTCTATCATTTGTGAGGTTGCAAATATTTCAAATAATTATTATTTTAATATAAATTACCTGATCACAATATTTTATCCCCACATCAATCTGGCTTCAGACCCAATTTTTTCTTTTACTATAACTGCTCTTTTAAAAATTGCTAATGATGTGTTCTCTGGTTTTGATCACGGTCATTTCACTGGTGCTGCTTTTATTGATCTCTCAAAGGCCTTTGACATGGTTAACCCTCAGAAGTCTAAACCATTTTTACCAATTTCAGGTCCGCCTGGTCTCCTTGTGTAATAGTGCTTGTATAATAACAACAATGAATAACAAAGTTATCAGAATTTGTATACTACAGTGACATCACATGAATGTATTAATAGTTATATGACCATAAAGACAAAAAATAAATAAAAACGGAAATTAAATCTCACAGACTTACATTTTACCTGAAGGAGGATAACAACAGATTACAAAAGTGAGTGAACATCAGCCCTCTCATTGTTACAGAAGAAGAGGGAAGCAAGCATGATTTGCTGGCAAAAAAGATATTGCATGTTGATATTGCAGCTGTACTAGAGGAGCACGACCTAAAATATGTTGCTAATCCCTTTGCAACAGAGACTTACCATAGACCATCCCAAGTATACATTTAAGCTAATACAAAAACTTTTCATGGACACTAGCAATGTTCAGCCAAAGTTCATGGACTCTGAATCAAGATGCTTCAAGGAAAGCACAGAAAGGGCTGGAACCGAATATTTGAATATTCAATTGTTGGGTTCACATTCGATTTTCAACTTTGAGATCCGAACATTGAGGTTTTCTCCTCACGCCTCACCTCCTCTCACAGCAGCGAACGTGACGCTCCAGTTCACATCCAAAGGAAAACCAAAAGAAGCCCTCAACTGTGTGAGAGCACTGAGCGATGAGAATGGCATAATTTTACAATTGCTGTATTTCATTACAGATCAAAACAGTCAAATAGCCTGCATTTTACAGTTAATCTGCATAATGAACACATTTAAATTATTATTACAGAAGAACATTTAGTTGCTATAAAAGTGAACTTTGCATAAAAACATGTTGTTTTAGTTCCGCTACCGGAACTAGTTCTCATCCCATCTGCTGTCCCTGGACCCCCGGACTCTGTTCTGGACCTGCTCGGCTCTCAGTCTGGACTCTCAGCTAACGTTCTGCTCTCCACCAACCCGGTTCTGCAGCATCTAGTCTTCCACTCTACCTCGGCTCAGTATCCGATCCCTTCAGCGCTACAATAAATATTCCTCTTTTATTAAACTCCTCCCTCTCTCGGTCCTGCTACTAGCTTAGCCTTACTTAAGCTAATAACAAAGTTTTGGTAATAATAACTTGCTGTTTCAGTTGGCCTACGCTATGAGAATAAAGCAACCGAGCGTCTCTCTCTTTTACTCTCTCTCTCACACAATATTTGCCTATTGGCTGTTAATTACTGTCGAGGCTTCGGTGCTCAAAAAATGACATTGGGGCAACTCTAGTGGCAACTTCACCAAATAAATGGGAGCAATCACTTGAATTATTGAAATGTTTGTACACTAAAACTACATCACACTCATGAACCAAACACACCGTCATGTCCACATGCACATCACATGGTTAGAACACGCCAAAGTGTGTAGTATAACTCACATAAGAAATACATACTTTACAAAAATGTTCGCTAGTTAAAGGTTTGTGAAAATAACTACTGCAGTAACTCTCATACTCTGTTGTTGTTGTTTGATAAAAGCACAATTAAAAAGCTGTGGCGTCATCTAGTGGATAAAACCTGAAATAGAGGTTCTGTCAGAAATGACCTAGACCTCGTGATTTTTGTATTTGCCTATTATAAGGCTATATTTATTAACAGAGTAGAGATGTAACTTCTTCTACATCTGCTAATGTTTGGAAAATGATGACCAGCCTATAGCCCCTGACAGGACGCGATATAACAGCATTACAGGTATCAGGGACAACTTTAAGTTCCAGCCTCCCCTCTTTATTTGTGTAACTCGCATAATGTGGATTTTTGGGTCTATTCTATTCATGAAAAATGGAGCTTTCATTCTTTACTTTGTCAACACAGTCTTCTTTCTAAAGCACAAATAGATCAACAGCTAGGGTACGCATTTTATTTACGTGATTGTAACCTGGGGAGAGTTTTAAAACACCAATTTCACCAATTAGAAATAAGATAGGAGTCATGTGATCATTTCAGTACCTCCTCCCCAAACAGATGTGGTGGTTTTCAAGGCTGGAAACAGTTCATTCAGAATATCTAGAGAAAGAACTTGAGGTAAGAAAGTACCAGAATATTTTTTGTTTAGTATCTATACTATTGAAGATAAAATTGTGTGACTTCCTCTATAAGGACTTTATTGATTTTAATATGTTCTTGATTTAAATATCTTTACAGAGTGCCCTATGCAGTCTCTGGGCTCTTTGTAACAAAGGAACACCATGTATTTGACATCAGCTCACGAGCTCTGTGATATTCTTGTAGACGTCTGAATTGGGGCCAGCTGTAGTGAACTTTGTTTAAAAGTTTGAGAACTCAAGCTAAAATATTCAGCGAGTTATTGTTGCCGAAGCAAAAAGTGTTACAACCAAACCCGGTATCATGCTGCTGTAAATGTTGTTTTAGATGCTTAATGATTGTTTAGCTGAAGTGAAGGGGATGCTGTGCCTTAACCCCGTCTGTCTGTCTACACTTCGTGGGTTAAAGAGTAATATTACGAACTGTGACATCAGGCAGGGAGAGTGAGAAATTACCTCATGTTATAACAATGTGCTGGTCTCAGTGTAGCGGTTAAAACTTCCCGTAGAGACTGAAATTTTATTTTGCTGTCATGCATTTGCACTACATACCAATGTAAAAAAATACACAATTAAACAACATCGCTGCCACTTAAATAACCAAATAAAAGCAATATAAGAAATACATGATGCAGTGATTCCGTGTTGAATCACCGCAGTTATGTAATAAGAAATAAGAATACGACAGCAGGACAAACAGTTTCTGCTCTGTGAGTTTCACTTTTAGCTAAACAGAAACTCTGGGGTCACAGGAGGAAAGCAGAAACCAGAGTAAATGTTCAGAGAACCTGCAGCCTCACTGCTGGACGCCTCGCCTCTACCCCGACAGGATGCGGTTTTTAATTTGAATGAGCTTTAAATGCTTTGCAGTGAATGTGTTCAAATTTACTTTCACTTCTGATTCCTGAGGGAAGCTCGTCACAGACACAGAGACACCTGATGCTTACTAATCAGTTTTTAAAATCCGTCCCACTGTTGGTTTGAGAGGTGACGGCAGCAGCGCACACAACTGATGATCTTAAAGTGAGGAGGCAACAGGAAGTGTTGTGGGAGGATGCAGACCCAACCTGTGATCTGATTCTGTTGTCAACATGGCTGAGGCGTGTGTGATAAAACTAAATACAACCATCTGTTGAGGGAAAGAACAGATAAGGGGAAAAAAAAGGCCTGTTCGTACCCGTCTCCTTCCTCACATGCTGACTCACACAGATCATTCATACTATTTCTTCTCTCTTTAAAACAGGAACTAGGTGTGGTTTATAAAGACCAGATCAGAGATCACTCCTCTCCAGAGCAGACTGAGCAGATACATTAGTTCATCTTTTTAATCGACATCATTCCTCACTTGACCATGTACACCCGATGCAACAGGAGAGGACATCTTGAATGTGTTGTTGACAGTCAGCACTTGAAGCTGGATGATTTGAAAGAGGAAGCTCTGAAAATAAGGCTGACAAACCAGTACCTTTACAAAAAAACCATCCCGGCTTCCCCTCAACCAGAGTTTCATGTGTCTCATCTGAAACACGACACAAACCAAACTGGACTAAGAGGCATCAAGACTGATGAAGGCTTCAGGAACCCAGGCAGAGGCTCTCTGCTGTGGTGGAGTCTGGCTGTGGGACCTGATGAGATAGCGTCAGCTGAGAGGAGGCTCCTGGAGACGACCTTCCCGGACCGGACGGAGGAGCAGGTCCAGATGCAGCAGAGCTTCCTGGAGAAGTTTACCACCTCCCCGGCCTTCGAGCAGACCTCCAGGCTGGGCTCGTACCGCTTCACCTTCCCCCTGGAGGAGGTGCTGGAGGCCTACAGAGAGCAGGTACTGAGGGTCGGGTTATCTTGACTTTTCCACAAACTTTTAATGCAGTGAGCCCTGAATGCTCCAGACAAACCTTTTTTTAATAGAAGCACTGCACCCCCTAACTGAACATTTTCTCCTGCTTGCTATTTCCTTAGAAATTTTTGGTCAAGTTGATAATTAACGGAAGATCAAAACAGCCAGTCAGATGGTGCCCTCGACCAATCCAGTCAGAAACAGTGGTTCTTGCCTTTACCGCCACGGCCTCTTCTGACTCTAACTCGTTGACCTCTGCAATTTGTTGCTGTAAAGGGCCTGGATCTGGTACTGGAGGAGGCAATGGTTTGTTTCACCATGGTTGACGTTTACAGACAATTATTTTGATTACAGGCAAGTGCAGATGACGTTTAATACGCAGGTGACTAAACACTTACGGTCCCTCCCCCTCTCACACACATTGGCCAACTCTGGCAGACTCGCTCCCTCCTTGATTTTTAACATGAAATTATAAAAACAAATGTTGCATTAGCAGGTCGCAAATGTGCAAATAGTTCAAAAAAATACTTGCATGCAAGTATTGAAAGGAAACCGTTTCAGTACAAGTTTAAGTCATTCAGTGAGTTCTGGTGTTTTTATGTTCCTCCAGTTTTGTCAATGAAATTATGATTAAACCTGTCAGTATTTATCCAGACTGTGGTTTGGTGACACCTTGTGGTAAAAGTGTTTCATCACCAAGCAGACATAACTTCAGGGAGTCTGGTAAGGGCTGTTTATTCACGTATCCCCAGCACAGACTTCCAAAAGGGAAGAGCGTTCCCATACGTGGTTAAGAACGCCTTCTTACATTTCCAACACTTCCTGTCGGCCCCCTAAATAACTTTAGAGCAGTGTAAAAGTATCTGTGTATAATTTTGTAATAAGTAAATTAACATCTCTTGTGGCCCAGCCAGTACTGGTTATTATATCATCAGAATCAGAATCATTAAACGCTTTATTACCAAATAGTATTTTACACGTACGAGGAATTTGCTGTGGTGATAAGGTGCTAGACATAAACATACAGGTGAAACAAACAGATGTAAACATATATAAATACTGAATAAACAGATGCAAGTTATAGGAAGTTCATCCTCTGCTGGGCCTTCTTGGTGAGGGAGGTGATGTTCAGCTCCCACTTGAGGTCCTGGCAGATGATGGTGCCCAGGAAGCTGAAGGAGTCCACAGTGGCGACGGGGGAGTCGCACAGGATGATGGGGGAGGGTGGGGCTGGGCTCTTTCTGAAGTCCACGACCATCTCCACTGTCTTCTGAGCGTTGAGCTCCAGACTGTTCTGGCTGCACCAGGTCACCAGATGGTTGATCTCCCACCTGTAGGCGGACTCGTCCCGACCTGAGATGAGCCCAATGAGGGTGGTGTCGTCCGCAAACTTCAGTAGCTTGACAGACTGGTGACTGGAGGTGCAGGTTTTGGTGTACAGGGAGAAGAGCAGAGGGGAAAGAACGCAGCCTTGAGGGGAACCGGTGCTGATGGTCCTGGAGTCAGAGACATGTTTTCCCAGCTTCACGTGCTGCTTCCTGTCTGTCAGGAAGTCTGTGATCCACCTGCAGGTGGAGTCAGGCACGTCCAGCTGGCAGAGCTTGTTCTGCAGCAGGGCCGGGATGATGGTGTAGAAAGCAGAGCTGAAATCCACAAACAGGATCCTGGCGTAGGTTCCTGGGGAGTCCAGGTGCTGGAGGATGTAATGAAGGGCCATGTTTACTGCATCATCTACAGACCTGTTGGCTCTGTAGGCGAACTGCAGGGGGTCCAGGAGTGGGTCCGTGATTAGTCCAGTGGTCCTTGGTTTCTTGGGGACAGGGATGATGGTGGAGGCTTTGAAGCAGGCTGGCACATGGCATGTCTCCAGTGAGGTGTTAAAAATGTCTGAACACCGGAAACAGCTGATCAGCACAGTGCTTCAGGGTGGATGGGGAGACAGAGTCCGGCCCAGCTGCTTTGCGGGGTTTCTGCCTCCTGAATAGCCTGTACCTCCCTCTCTGAGATGGAGAGAGGGCGGAGGGGGCGGAGGGGAGCCCCTGTCTGGAGGAGCTTCAGACAGATCACAAACTACAAACCCAAAGCCCTGGTGCAGAGAACTGGTGTTTTAATCTCTCTGAGTACAGTCGTTTAGCTTCTTGCACCACGGCCCTGTTTCCACTCCTAAACGCCTCCTTCTTTTCCAGCCATAGCTGTCTGAGTTTAGCTGTGAACCAGGGTTTGTTCCTGTCGAACAATGAGGCGCTGTGCGTTATGTTCGCTACTCAAAGAGCTTCTGTATCATATCGTCATGTTAAATTTGAACACACTCCCTACACTGTTCTTTTAATGAAGGCGTTTTCAGAATTCTGGGTCGGACGCAGCTGATTACCTGATCGTTGATCTGAGGGAGTGTACTGTGTACACTGAATACTGAGCTTTGCTCTGTCTGTCTGGACTGAGTCTGTAGTGTTGGGGAAGGAGGCTTCTGAAGCGCTGAATCAATTTAAAGCAACTGTGTTTGATCCAATCAAAATGGCACCACCTACTGGGCAGCTCCTGGTGTTGCATTTATCTGAACAGTCTGATTTTTTATTGCTTTTACTGTTATTTTGTTCAATACAGCTTGTTTTATACGAACTGATCACTTTTAATTCATTGAAACCTCTATTACTGTCTCCAGTTTTGCTGCGGCGCTCAGCCCGTCATGCGGGTGTACGAGACCGTCCTGTACAAACAGGAAGTGATGTACGTTGTGCTGATCCACAGCCCAGCCAATCAGAAGCAGTTCTCTAAATATCCTTTGCTGACTGACGACCCAAACTCTGTCTGCACCTACAGAGACGGCTGCTTCATCTGGAGGCCTGAGGCCATGAGTGAGACACACAGGTAAGAACCAGAAACTCTGTGACACCTGAACTAACTGCAGATGCCGTTATTACAGACAGTGAACTAACTGCAGATGCCGTTATTACAGACAGTGAACTAACTGCAGATGCCGTTATTACAGACAGTGAACTAACTGCAGATGCCGTTATTAAAGACAGTGAACTAACTGCAGATGCCGTTATTACAGACAGTGAACTAACTGCAGATGCCGTTATTACAGACAGTGAACTAACTGCAGATGCCGTTATTACAGACAGTGAACTAACTGCAGATGCCGTTATTAAAGACAGTGAACTAACTGCAGATGCCGTTATTAAAGACAGTGAACTAACTGCAGATGCCGTTATTACAGACAGTGAACTAACTGCAGATGCCGTTATTACAGACAGTGAACTAACTGCAGATGCCGTTATTACAGACAGTGAACTAACCGCAGATGCCGTTATTACAGACAGTGAACTAACCGCAGATGCCGTTATTACAGACAGTGAACTAACCGCAGATGCCGTTATTACAGACAGTGAACTAACCGCAGATGCCGTTATTACAGACAGTGAACTAACTGCAGATGCCGTTATTAAAGACAGTGAACTAACTGCAGATGCCGTTATTACAGACAGTGAACTAACTGCAGATGCCGTTATTACAGACAGTGAACTAACTGCAGATGCCGTTATTAAAGACAGTGAACTAACTGCAGATGCCGTTATTACAGACAGTGAACTAACTGCAGATGCCGTTATTACAGACAGTGAACTAACTGCAGATGCTTGACTAGGATTGTAGACCTGTCCTCCTCGAACAGCAACCACCTCCCCACTTCCGGGTGGTTGAGTGAGTCTATGTGTTCATGCTTAGTGACCACTCGTCAATAATCACAATCTTTTATGCAGAACAAGTCCAACATTTGAAAGTTTACTATAGCATGTCAAACTTTTTTAATGTCCTGCCCATCCAGTGACATTGATGAGCACATCAACAGACTTAGGAACAGCTTCTAACACAGAGCCATTTGAGAACTGAACACAGCCAACACTGATGCCACCATCGTTACAGACAGTGACCTAACCGCAGACACTTGTCTGTTTCTGCTGTTCTGTTTTGTGTCAGGTATAAGTTGGTCCGGAGACGTGATGAAATGCAGATGGAAGCGGTGCGGATGAAGCGTACCCCTGAGTTTTATGTTTGGGATCATGTCGCCGTTGCACTGCATGTGGATAAACAGGTACCTCCACTGTTCTCACTCTTTCCTGACACGCTGGATTTTTCTTTCCATATTCTAGAGATAAAGTGTAGAGTGCCAATGGGATCTGCAGGTTCTGGTTCTGACACATAGTCCTGAATTCTACTGTAGCCTATTGTACTTTGATCAAACAATATCAGTAATCTGAGTCTGAATCGTGGCTGCTAACAGTCCAGCCCTGCACCCTCACAGCTTCTCGCAGACCCTGCAGCTGTTCTGCTTGTCATCTTCTTCTGTTCTCTGACTTTTTCAGGTGCTGAACTTTGATCCTGACCGACTGAGAGAGAACCTCACGTGGTGTGATAAAGCAGCAGTTCCAATCTCTCGTCCTCACACTTTTGATTACCTGATACAAGCTGAGGACTTTGTTGAAGGACTGTGGCCCGACTGTCCCTCTGCACTGCAGAAAACTTGACACTTGACTTGTTTTGTTGTTCTTTAATTAGGGTGTACAGTGGGTACGGAAAGTATTCAGACCCCTTTAAATTTTTCACTCTTTGTTTCATTGCAGCCATTTTCCAAAAATCAAAAAAGTTCATTTTATTTCTCAGTAATGTACACTCAGCACCCCATCTTGACAGAAAAAAACAGAAATGTAGAAATTTTTGCAAATTTATTAAAAAAGAAAAACTGAAATATCACATGGTCATAAGTATTCAGACCCTTTGCCGTGACACTCATATTTAACTCAGGTGCTGTCTATTTCTTCTGATCATCCTTGAGATGGTTCTACACCTTCATTTGAGTCCAGCTGTGTTTGATTATACTGATTGGACTTGATTAGGAAAGCCACACACCTGTCTATATAAGACCTTACAGCTCACAGTGCATGTCAGAGCAAATGAGAATCATGAGGTCAAAGGAACTGCCTGAAGAGCTCAGAGACAGAATTGTGGCAAGGCACAGATCTGGCCAAGGTTACAAAAAAATTTCTGCTGCACTTAAGGTTCCTAAGAGCACAGTGGCCTCCATAATCCTCAAATGGAAGACGTTTGGGACGACCAGAACCCTTCCTAGAGCTGGCCGTCCGGCCAAACTGAGCTATCGGGGGAGAAGAGCCTTGGTGAGAGAGGTAAAGAAGAACCCAAAGGTCACTGTGGCTGAGCTCCAGAGATGCAGTCGGGAGATGGGAGAAAGTTGTAGTAAGTCAACCATCACTGCAGCAATCCACCAGTCGGGGCTTTATGGCAGAGTGGCCCGACGGAAGCCTCTCCTCAGTGCAAGACACATGAAAGCCCGCATGGAGTTTGCTAAAAAACACCTGAAGGACTCCAAGATGGTGATAAATAAGATCCTCTGGTCTGATGAGACCAAGATAGAACTTTTTGGCCTTAATTCTAAGCTGTATGTGTGGAGAAAACCAGGCACTGCTCATCACCTGTCCAATACAGTCTCAACAGTGAAGCATGGTGGTGGCAGCATCATGCTGTGGGGGTGTTTTTCAGCTGCAGGGACAGGACGACTGGTTGCAATCGAGGGAAAGATCAATGCGGCCAAGTACAGGGATATCCTGGACGAAAACCTTTTCCAGAGTGCTCTGGACCTCAGACTGGGCCGAAGGTTTACCTTCCAACAAGACAATGACCCTAAGCGCACCGCTAAAATAACGAAGGAGTGGCTTCACAACAACTCCGTGGCTGTTCTTGAATGGCCCAGCCAGAGCCCTGACTTAAACCCAATTGAGCATCTCTGGAGAGACCTGAAAATGGCTGTCCACCAACGTTTACCATCCAACCTGACAGAACTGGAGAGGATCTGCAAGGAGGAATGGCAGAGGATACCCAAATCCAGATGTGAAAAACTTGTTGCATCTTTCCCAAAACGACTCATGGCTGTATTAGATCAAAAGGGTGCTTCTACTAAATACTGAGCAAAGGGTCTGAATACTTATGACCATGTGATTTTTCAGTTTTTCTTTTTTAATAAATTTGCAAAAATTTCTACATTTCTGTTTTTTTCTGTCAAGATGGGGTGCTGCGTGTACATTACTGAGAAATAAAATGAACTTTTTTGATTTTTGGAAAATGGCTGCAATGAAACAAAGAGTGAAAAATTTAAAGGGGTCTGAATACTTTCCGTACCCACTGTATTTCATGTTCATTGATGAAGGAAGTTTTTCTTTGCCTCTGTAGCCTAGTGCTGCTCACGGTCGGAATTGTTGGGCCTCTGTAAATAATATCACAGAGTACAGAGTTGAAAAGTGCTAGGAGGTAACTGTTGTTGTGACTTGGCGCTATATAAATAAAATGCAATGTAATGATATTTTTCTATTTTCTTTAAAAAGATAACATTTTTGTAAAAGCATATAATAAAACCAGGGCTCAAAACAATGACTGAAAAACATTAAAGTTAGTATTTGTTTATTTTAAAATTCTAAATTTGTTTTAAACCTGTTTGTCGCTAGCCAAAATTAGCATCCCAGCTAATATCACAGTTAATGTGAATTACAGATGCACCTAGCTAACCAAGCTAGCTAGCTCCACCCTCTCGTCCAAAACATGGTCACGTCTGGTTTTAAAAAACCAAGATGACGGCGGCCAAAATGTGTGAAAAAAACTTGCGGCTTCAAAATGGTAGTCCACAAACCAACGTGTGACGTTACCGTAACTACATCCATTTCTTTTATACGTGCTGTGGCTAAAATAAGAAAATTGTTAACTAAGGGCCCTTTCACACCTACAGCTGGGCGATATGGCCTAAAATATTATCACGATAAAAAAATGTCATACTAGGGATGGGGATCGAGACCCGGTTCCAAAAGGACTCGGTTCAAAAAACCCGAAAATCCATAAGGTTCTAGCTTATCGATACTGCTATCGAGACTTACGGGTCCTATAATGTAACGTACTGTCTCGAGCGTCAAATGTGATTTAATTTGAAACACAATGCAGAAGAAAATCATCAGGCTGCAGTCTCTGCCTGCTCTCTGTCGGCTCACACACACAGCGGCAGCAGAGCGAGAGGCGTCGCGTCACGGTGGAATAACGTTACGGTGAGGGTTAAGTTAGCTCCAAACTACTGTAACGTTAGTTGATGACAGCTGCTACTGTTAGTACGTGCAGTAAAACCTTCACAAGTGAAAAGACAATACTTTATCAATACACCTGTCTGTAAGGTGACGTTAAACAAATGGTTCATAGCTGACCAGGTCCGGTCTGTAGTCTTAAAAACTGAGCTGCTGGCTGAGACTAACCAGCCGCTCCTCCTCCTACCTGGTAACGTTACCTGCATCCGGCGAGAGACGAGGAGGGACTGATACAGACTGATGTTCTTTGTAAACGTCACATTGAGTTACTTTGCTGTTGTAAACATTAATGTTGCTGCTCTAGAAACAACATTTAGCTGGATTTAAAATATTAAATTAAAAACAACCTGGCAGTTAATATGCACACTCCATCCATCGTCAACCGCTTATCCTGCGTACAGGGTCGCGGGGGGCTGGAGCCGATCCCAGCTGAAAGGCGGGGTACACCCTGGACTGGTCGCCAGTCCATCGCAGGGCCATAGACAGACAACCACTCACATTCACACCTAAGTACAATTTAGGGTCACCGGTCAACCTAGTCCGCATGTCTTTGGATAGTGGGAGGAAGCCGGAGCACCCGGAGAGAACACACGTAGACACGGGGAGAACATGCAAACTCCACACAGAAAGACCGGGGCAAAAGGGGTTTGAACCCACAACCTTCTTGCTGTGAGGCGACAGAGTTAAACACTGCACCACTGCGCCGCCCATGTACACTTCAATATATGCATATATCTCAATCTATAACGTTCTTGCACGTTGAATATTTTCCTCATACCGTGCAGGCCTACCTCAGGCCCGTTGGGTCTGGTCTTAAATAATAACCATCACTAAATAATAGTAAAGTATCGATAAAGAATCGGATCGTTAAGCAGTCTCAATAAGGGTATCAATATCAATAAAAATTTACGATCCCCATCCCTATGTCATACCATTCGATAATTATCAGGATAAATGTCAAATAATTATTTCTTTCAAGTTTAAAGACAGATTTTTGCTCCTGAGTGAAAGTTGAAGAAACCTGATGGTAAATATCATCACAGAGTATGGTCTAGACCTGCTCTTTTATGAAAAGCGCTGTGAGATAACTGTTGTTGTGATTTGGCGCTATATAAATAAAATTGAATTGAATGGTTAATTGTGGTTAAACCTTTCTTCACGGTCAGCACTGTTTGGCATCAACACTTGATGCCAAACAAACAAATCTGAGGCAGAACATTCAAAACAATTATGATAAAGATATTTTTTTTCAAAACATGTGATTAGTAAATATTTATTTCAGACCCTTTGCCTCAACAAAATAAGCATAAGTTTGTGATTCAAATGAATTAAATATTTATTGACAATATATTTAACATTTGCCCTGTGACCCGACCCCGGATAAGCAGATGAAGATAGATAAATGAATATTTAACATTTGTTATAGCCTATTGTTATTGAATAAAATTATATTGATAATTATTATTATTAATTGTTTTATTGCCCAGCCGTAGCACAAACCTGAAAGTCCGCATCAAGGTACGAACCAAAGTTCATGTTTTGACACATTCGGTTAGATTTGTTTTTTTTCACGTTGCAATTGACCCTTCGCTAAGCCACGCCCCGAATACACAGCTGACCAATCACAGTGCAGTATAGAACTTGCTCTAACTGAGGTTCGACACTTTCATGGCTGCGCTCCAGTGACTCTAATGCAAAAAGAGTCGTTTTCTAGCTTTTTCTAGTGTTTTTTTGTAATAGTTACAGCAGCTACCCAGAGAGGTTGAAAGGAAAAGTACAATTTATTCTCTTTCCAAAACCTAAAATAAATCCAGAAACATGTCAGCTGTGGATTGCTGCTAATGTAATGTTAGTTAGCTAACGCTAGCTAACGTCCTACTGATTGTAAGGTAATAAAGCCCTGCTGTTCTTCTTTGCAATGATTGTAATAGTGAACAGATGCCTACCAGCTGTACAGGAACACTGTTGTTCCTTAATATCGTTGTCTTTTGTCTCAATCGTCTGGGATGCGTTGGTTCACTGGTACTGTGTGATCGGTAGGCTTTAGCTTCTATCATTATCTTTTTCACGTCAGTCTGGGTCAGTCTGGGTCAGTCTGAGTCAGTCTGGGTCAGTTTGGGTCAGTCTGAGTCAGTCTGAGTCAGTCTGGGTCAGTTTGAGTCAGTCTGGGTCAGTCTGGGTCAGTTTGGGTCAGTCTGAGTCAGTTTGAGTCAGTCTGGGTCAGTCTGAGTCAGTCTGTGGGAGTGAGGCCCCACGAGGCCTCTGGCCTGGTCTGGGGGGTTTTCCTCCCACACACTGAGAACTCTGAGGTCTCTGAGGCAAGCCAATGGTGTGAACACAAGATGCCTGAAGGAGGACCTGGCAGACAACACTGAGCGCAGGCTGGATGACAACAGAATTATGTTCGCTCTAAAACCGTCACATTTGGCCATCTGATGAAGACCAGCGCTAACAAACTTCTCACCACACAGAAG